GTGCGCTTCCTCCCTCCTCTTTATCCGCTTTGACTTCGTAGTCGTAGTCGTAGTCGTAGTCGTAGTCGTAGGATAAGGAGGAGAGGGACCCTCTCTTTAATTTTTTTTTTAAAATAGGGAGAGTAAAATAAAATTTATAAGTTAAATATTAAGACTAGATGTGATGTGACGAGTAAAGTATAATAAAAGTCAAGAGAAAAAGATTAAAAATTTTAATATATGGAACGTTGACTCTATTCAACTAATGCTAAAGATATCGGAACTCTTTACCTTATATTCTCATTATTTGCTGGTATGTTAGGTACAGCTTTTTCAGTTTTAATAAGATTAGAATTAGCAGCTCCTGGTGCTCAATATTTAAATAATGACCATCAGTTGTATAATGTAATAATAACTGCTCATGCATTTATAATGATTTTCTATATGGTTATGCCTGGATTAGTAGGAGGTTTTGGAAATTACTTACTACCTGTTCATATAGGAGCACCAGATATGGCTTTTCCAAGATTAAATAATATTTCATTCTGATTATTACCTCCCGCACTAATATTGTTATTATTAAGTTCTTTAGTAGAATCAGGAGCAGGTACAGGTTGAACAGTATATCCTCCTCTGTCTGGAATACAATCTCACTCAGGTGGATCTGTTGATTTAACTATTTTCTCTCTACACTTAGCTGGAGTATCAAGTCTTTTAGGTGCTATGAATTTTATTACAACAGTTTTAAATATGAGAGCACCCGGAATGACTTTACATAAATTACCTCTATTTGTTTGAGCTATATTTGTAACTGCAATTCTTTTATTATTATCATTACCTGTATTAGCTGGAGCTATAACAATGTTATTAACAGATAGACAATTTAATACTTCATTCTATGATCCTAGTGCTGGTGGAGATCCTATCTTATACCAACATTTATTCTGATTCTTTGGTCACCCTGAAGTTTATATTTTAATTATACCAGGGTTTGGAATAGTTAGTCATATAATATCACAATTTTCAGGTAAACCAATATTCGGTTATTTAGGAATGGTATATGCTATGTTTTCTATAGGTATCCTTGGATTTATAGTATGAAGCCATCATATGTTTGCAGTAGGATTAGACGTGGATACACGAGCTTACTTTACAGCAGCTACAATGGTTATTGCAGTACCAACAGGAATTAAAATATTTAGTTGATTAGCTACTTGCTACGGTGGATCTTTAAGATTTACTACTCCTTTATTATTCACTTTAGGGTTTATATCATTATTCACTATTGGAGGATTAACAGGAGTTGTTTTAGCTAATGCTTCTATGGATATAGCATTACATGATACTTATTATGTAGTAGCTCACTTCCATTATGTTTTATCAATGGGTGCTGTATTTGCTCTATTTGCTGGATTTTATTTCTGAACACCTAAAATTGTAGGTTTACCTTATAACGAATTATTAGGTAAAGTACATTTCTGAGTATTGTTTGTAGGGGTTAATTTAACATTCTTCCCTCAACACTTCTTAGGTTTAGCAGGAATGCCTAGAAGAATACCTGATTATCCAGATGCTTTCGCACAATGAAATTATATTTCTAGTTTAGGATCTATAATATCAGTAGGTGCTACTGTATTATTTATATATATTGTTTATGATATTTTCGCTAACCCTAATGCAATCGGTCAAAATGAAGGAAATGAAATAGCTGAAATAGATTCTATTGAAAATAAAGAATTAAATTGATCTACACCAGGTTATTTAGTAGGAAATATGGAATTTAATAAATATGGAAGATTTAGTAATAATTTAGAGTGAAGTTTAGTTACTCCTACTCCATTACATGCTTATGATTCATTACCTGTTCAAACTTCTGCAAGTGAAAATGTGTAATGCATTTAATTGTATGCCGAAGGCCTAGGACTATTACTATTACTATTACTATTAATTAAATCCGGAGGAAAAATAGAAGGGTTAGATAAGTGCAAAAAACACGATAACTTTATTATTATTATTTTTATAATATATTTTAATAAACCCCATTATAATAGCATAAATACTTTATTTCTAATGCGCATTTACCTAATCCCTATCCCTATTATTTAAACTAGAGACCTAAGGCACAAGCGCATAAACTTTTATAGCTATAACTAAAATTAAATACACTTAATTTATATCAGCACTTATTACTATTTTATGTATATGGGATAAAAGATATTTTAGAATATTTTTATCTCCAACCATATGAGAAGGTAAAGATTTGGATAACACTGCACTATCGGTGTCCGAGTAGTAGAGATAGTCACTAAATTTCACTTTAACTTCAGACATAAACACTCTAGCATAAGCTGAGGTTATGAAGAATATGGGTAGGGAGATATCTAATTTATTTCCACTTCACGTTAGATTTTGATTTTTATAGCTTCTATAGCCGAAAAGGTAGTTGTCCCCTATTTCCATTTTATTTACCAATAGATTATCTGCTACTTTAGAACTAATTTCTTTAAAACTGTATTCTTCTAACTTAGGACTAAGGCCAAATCTTCTGCGCTTTGACTTCAAGCCACATAAAGGGAGTTAAGTAAAAGTTTACAGATTAAAATTTGCGGGTCTTGTTTATCGAAGGTTAGCCTCAGAGTATACAAAGTATCCACATAATCTTTGAATATGTATTCTTTATGATCTCAGTGGTACCCTTCATGTACAGTAACTTGGTAACCATAATTTACAGCATTTTGAAGTTCTCCAGTAAAGTATCACCCTTTTCAACTACCGAGTGGAGAAAGGGATGTATTGTTATCTCTGTAGATTAGGATAGGTGCAAAAAGATTATCAGGTGTAGTTACTGAAGCATAAACTATCCCAAACAGATCCGAAAGTTCTCTTAGGCCTCTAAAGTAAGTCCCTCTCCCTACTGGGTATGGGTTATTTCTCATAACTGTAGGATACAAACTATTAACATCATAATAAAACCCATTTTCTAAACGTGGTCTATAAACATCCACATGCCCTCCCGTATATCCTGATTTAATATTATCATACAAACTTAAGCTTGATACAGGAATATTAGATTTACTCATAAATTTAGATCTGTATAAAGAGAAAGCAATCGAAGTTAGAGTAGTACTATTGTGGATATTAACTTTAAATAAGTTTCACATTAATTTGGAGAAACTATTTATAACATTAAACAATAAAATACAATCCGATATATTATATTTTAATATTTCTTCTCTGATAGCTGGGTCGTGTAAAGCTGCAGGACCTAAGGCATTAAAAACATTAAAATCAAATTTCACTTTGCTTCCTACACCAAAACTTTCACCTAATTTGTCCAGGGAAGAGGGTAATATGAGTAAGGAATCTCTTAATGTTATTCTTTTATTTCCTTTTTTTAAAGTAATAGATATGAAGTTATCATCTCTCGCTATAACTTCGGCATCATTTCCAAATTTAGAAATAGAGTTAAGTAAATAAACCACATCGAAGCCTGATAGATTGTGCACATAGACATTATAACCATTAAATTTATCCAGTAAATGGTTTAAACAGCTATCCGCCATAATTTCTGCTGACTCATAATCAGTGATATATCAACTATGTTGTGAAGCGGTACCTTTGCTCCCACTATAAATACTAATAGAAACTAAATTTTGTTCCATAGACCCTAGCTCTTTAGATGACCCTTGCGTTTCCAGATCTAAAGTCAGGAATTTATCCGAAAAATTAGTAGGTCTATTTAACTTTCTAATGTAGAGGTTTTCTAGTTTAGATTCACTATAGGTTTGTTCACCGTTGACATAGTAAAGGGATGTGCTATTGTATTCTCTTCTGAATGTATTTAAGTCCGAAGTAGAACTTAATCTGTAATCAGTGAAAGAAAATATTAGGCTGTCATCAGCTCTACTTGTAATAGTACATTTGTATGAGTCTTTATGGATGTTAAATTTGTAAGTTAGATCCCCTTTAATAAATCCTGCAATGGTATAAGATTCATAGAAAAGTATATCTTTACTTCACTGTCATAAATCTAAAGTCAAGGGCAGCCTGAAATCTTTCAATGTATCATTTCTATATGTTGAATTGAAGGAAGAGAATACAGATGTATCAATTAAAGAGGTTAAAGGTTCTTCATATAAACTAGCATCAGAGGGTATGTAAGTACTTTCTTTGTCTAGAATTTCGTAAGAAATATATAATCCCTGAAAGGTAGTATTGTGGTATCTCACATTTCTGAAGTTATATCAGGTTGTCACGGATTGTGTATACTTATCCAGGTCGCTATAGTTGATTTTAATAAATTGGGTTAAAGATTTAGTAGATCTAGTTCCCAAGTCTAGTCTAATTTGCAATAACATAGTATTATCACTTGCTTTGGAGAATATTTCAGAGTAGAAACTATTTATTAGCTCTAGAATTAAATCTAGAGACAAAGGGAAATTACTGTGATAAAGTGGAGAGTTGGCATTTGCGTGTGAGAATCTCATTCAATTATTTTTGATATTAAGTTGATTTTGCATTATTATTATTATTTTTATGTTGGAAGAGATATATGTTTTATTGACTAAGCCCCTAGCTTCGCAAGCAAGCGCGGTGTAACAGCACAGCCCCCTGCTTGGTCACAAGCTGGGCTGTGTAACCGGGGTAGGCACACATATAGTACTTTATTTGCTAATATATTAAAAATATTGTAAGTACATTAACTGACTCACATCCCAGTTACACAGCCCAGCTTGTGACCAAGCAGGGGGCTGTGTAACTGGAGGCGAGCAGTATTTAATTTAAGATCAGTCTTTCACTACTGCCCTTTTATTAATAAAAAGGGCGAACATTCTTAAATAACAAATAGATAAATAAGGAATGTTATGGGGTAATATATTCTACCACACCTTGCTAGCTACTAGCTAGGACGCGATTAGAATAGAATAAGTAAACATGCAACTAAGCATATAATTTTTAAAAGTAATAAGATATATTTCATCTGTGGTGTGCGTACAATAAGATAAAGGGCTTTTAGCCCAGAGCAACCAGAGGTATCGAACCTCTATCTCAGGAAGATGAACCCTGAATACTACCATTATACTAGGTTGCATTATGGTTATTTGAATGAATACTTATATAATGAAATAATCTGAGGTTATCTCTATAAATAGTACAGATGGATATGCAATGAGGTTATTAACTCTGGTATAATACTTCTATTATTTAATTTAAAAACAATATCCTTAATAATGTCAGAAGTTTTAAATGTAGTAATATCTATATTTTTAGTCAATAACGTAACATAAACTATCTTACCTTTTACAGGAGACTTAAAGGAAATTCTAATACTGATGGTTACTAATCTTTTGGCTCCATTCATTTTATTACCGTCTATTGATTTAGAAATTAAACTATGGAAGATACTTTCGACATCGCCAACATTAAATATTTCCACCCTATAACTATTTTTTATTTTATTCATCCTCTTACCCCTTCATCCTTTCCCGTAGGGAGAAGTCAAAGCGGAGGGCTAGGATCAAACGACATGTAATTGTCACTTTTAAATTGGGGATTACACATTGATATACTTTATAAAATCAAGGGGATACTATTTATCTCCAAACAACCTTCCCTGATATCTTTTTAAAGCTTCTTTAACTTGAGCAGATTCTACAGGATGATTTGCTTGGAATATTTCTTTAGTTTCCCTAGGCATATTCATATATTTTTTAGCACTAGTTTGCGAATTTCAATTTATAGATCCTAAAGTTACGTCTCTGGCTGTAGCTGGAGTTACAGTTCCGGAACTACTAGGACTACTTCCTAGACCTGAGTCGGATCCTCTAAGATCTGAGGCATAGGATTGAGATCCTGAAGGGATATTTTCTACGTGAGAAGGCACTGGAATAGCACCTGTCGATGTTTGACCTGGATGGGCTCTAAGATCTTCAAAAACTGTATCCTTCCCCAGCTCAAGCAGGGGGCTTGAGTCATCAGTGCTTCTAGACATATGTCCTCTTGTAGCTAACGTTCTTATTACTTCAGCTACACCTGCTCCTGATCCTTGCCCTTGTGATGCGCCAGGTAAATGTAGGCCTCCTTTAGGGGGGGCAGAAGTTGTACCAACTCCTGATCCATCAGGGCTAGGACCGTCAGCATCACCAAAGAAATATATAGATAGTGCAGATCATGTTGATCCACCTAATTTTACTATATCTAGATCTCCTTTATAGATAGCAACGGCTGCACTTACAATTACTAAAGCACCTACTGTGTATCCAACTAGACTTCAATCCACTCAATCTAATGAGGGTAGATAAGTTCATGCGGAACTATTGGTTGCTTGAGGTTCTAAAGACGAGGGTAGAACACTTTGACTCATGGCTTCAATCGCTCCATCTAGACCATTTCCTGGTCCTTTGGGAACCGGTTGGGCCGTATCACCAAAGATTAAATTATGTAAATTTAGACTTAATCTTCTAAAGAAGTCGATTATTACAGCTAATTTAGACCCATGTTCTGTTATTTCAACGTAACATTTAGCCATGTAACAAGTTGAAGTGTAGGAAATACCTCTAAATATTTTTAAACCTCTATCTCATAATCATAGAACTAGGAAAGGTATAAAGGCTGCTTTACTTAGAAAGGTTAATATTAATTTTATGATTAAGAATACTTCTAAAGTAAATTTAATATTACTTAAGAGTTCTTTAAATACATAGAAATGTCTTAAGGAATCTTTTAATTCAGTATCACTTAACGGTTTATCTTTATTGTAAAGATTATTTATACTAAGGTTGTTTATTTGGCTTAGAATAGCTTTTCTTAACTTAAGAATGCCTTTGATTCCATTTTCATTGTACTCCACTTTATAAATATTTACAAGGTGGTTGACTATGTCAGATAGATCCACTGTAGAATTGATTAAACCTGTTTTATTTTTAATTTCTTGGAATTTTGTATTAAGTCTTCATTTAGCATATCCGAAGATTAATTTTGTTATTGTGTTGTTTATGTAATTTATTATCATTTTATTATTTTTAATTTTATTATTTTACTTCGTATTTTAGCTCCGTTGCACTAGTTACAATTTGTTCATGTGCTGGGGGGGTATAAGGGAATAAGGGGATATAAGGTGTAGGGGTATAAACTAAGGAAATAAAGGGTACAAATTCCATGTATGGGGTTCAAAAATTCCATGTATGGGGTTTAAAAAAGGGGTCTAAAAAAAGGGGTAATCTGAGAGTCTTTGTAAGCCGCCGGCAGGGCATAAATGAAAAAGCTGCCTGCAAGGCCAAACTCTGTCTTAGTATCCGGATGGAGGCGAACAGATCCCTCTAATAAGAGGGGGCGTGAGGCGTAAGTCCGATATAGAACTAGGGGATAAAAGATGATTCTAATATGGGGTGGGGGGAGTGGAGGAGACAGGGACAAAGTGGAGGGGAGGGCTCTCCGCTCTGACTTCAAGGTGGGTAAGCAGGGGTGGGGAGAAGTCAAAGCGCTGCGCTTGCTTAATGATCGATCCCCTCTTATTAAAGAATGAGAATGAGAATGAGAATCCAAGAATAAGATTTAATACCCCAGCATAATTTATGCATTTGTTGGCTGCGCAAGCCAGCAAGAGTAATTTATTTAAAGAATAAAATTACGATTACGATTACGATTACGATTACGATTACGAAGCGTCTGGTGGCTTCCGCACCGCTTAGGAGGCCTTGATTATTATTATTTTTATTGGTCGGCTAGATTGGTCGACTTGATGATTAAGGTAAGGCATAGAAAAATTTAAGTTAAAAAAGGGAATTCGATGCGAAGAGCAAAAAGTAAGAAGAAAACTTCTATTTTTAAAGGTGTAAAAGTTATAAAAAAATAACCTTAGTATTCTCTTATAAGGACGAATGATTACGCCTCAGTTAAGGTCGGCTACATCATTCTTGACTTAGCCTTGCAGGCGACTTTATTTTGTCACTTTCCCTTTATAACCTCCCTCAGCCTCAGCCTCAGAATATTATTAAGCAAGCGCACGGATTATTATTATTATTATTATTATTATTATTATTCTTATTATTATTATTATTATTTTTATTCGTAGCGCGATTAATATAATAAAAGAAGTAAATTTGTATTGATTATATAATAAATTATATTTAAATTTGTAGTATTAAATTAGAAAGTTCTCATATTTACTCTAGTAGAGGTTAAAATAAAGAATTAATATATCTACTACTAAATAATAAAATACTATTAATTATATATTTCTTGATCTATTATTAATGATTATAATAAAAAAAATTTTTTATCACATAAAGATAATTCTTTATATGATAACTTCATGTTATTAATCAGCTATGCTATTGGCATTAGCTAAAAATTAATAAGAAGCTA